CTATCAGAATTCTGTTAAATCTTCCCCCAAAGTCCAGGAAATGGCATTTTAGAGACTCTAAATTTAAAAATTTCCTCGGGCCTTCGGCCCTCGCTTTCAGCCCCCCCAATCGAAAAGAGCTTCCTACGGCCCTGGAGGTTGACTTGCGAGGTTGTACTTCGTACTGCTTGGAGTTGAGACATCACGGCTCCAAGCATTTTTATTCAAACTAAGCCCTATATACACCACAATGTGCTCTTTCCAAATTCTCTTCCTTTGCGTGCATGGATTCAGGCTAATATTAAACTCGTGGTGCTCGCGACGCGTCATGGTAGCTATTTGTACAAAACAGCAAAAAATAAATAAAAAAGTTTAACACTTTGAACTAAAGAACGATCAATATATAAAGTAGGTGTGTTATTTTGCATTCTATGAGCTTTATTATAATGTAAAATTCAACACGAAACGCTTCGTAAAATGTTTTTAACTGATGTTCATTGAAATTAACTGCTTTTATTAAAATAAGATGGAATGATCCCCAACAAATTTTGGCTTCGCATGAGATATAAACTATCAAACTTTGCTCCTATGCTATTTTCTCTCTGATTGTATTCCTTAAAATAAAGGTTATAATTTGGGGCATTTTTAAATTTTGTGGTTTGTTGCCATAGAAACCAATTTGTTTTCCCTTTGTTTTTGCCAATACTGAACTTTGCCAACAATGTAGGACTGGGTTCTAATTTAAGCGCAAAAAAGGCGGTTTGTTGGAAATCGTTATACAAAACGTCCTCGTCTTAATTGATAATAGAGAGTATAGGGAGTTTACGAATGTAAGACGGCGACGTCAGGACGACGGCCAAACAAACTGTTTGAAATAATCAGTGATTGTATGGAAATCTTGTCTTGTATTTACTTTCGTATAAATTTAAAATAGTTTCGAACGAGTAAAACAGAGCTTTAACCTTCGGAGCAATGTTGATGAACGCTGCTAGAAAAACTACCTGCACGGCGTGAAATGCTTTAATACAAGACCTGAAAATATGAATTTTGCCGTCGCCAACAGAGCTTGAACGACGTCTACAACCCCTACTAAACTTTTCATTATTCATTTCCTTTGTGCTATAGGATTAATGTCATTAGCCGTTTTCACATTAGAAGACGGACAAGTCGTCTAGACGAACAAATCATCTCAAAATCGTCTTGTAGTCGGACAAATCATCAGATGTGAAAACGTGTCGTACAAAATTTTAGACGAACAAGTCGTCTGAATTTGTTCGACTACTTGTCCGTCTGTGAAGACGATTTTTGATAGACGATTTGTTCGCCTAGACGACTTGTCCGTCTCTAATGTGAATAGGGCTATTGTATTGATAGCCGTCGTCCTGACGTACTATACATTAGTCAGTCAGTCAAGTCTTTATTTAAGCACGGTAGCTTCATCAGGTTTACAAAAAAGTTATCTATACATTAATAAGTTTAAAAAAATTTTTCACGCCTATGTTACATTAATATTTATACCTGTTTTCCATGAATGCCGTGTCTATCGAATATGTTTCAACAATTGTCGAAATTCAGTAAGAGATTCCGCTTGTCTTATATTGCCAGGTAAGCTGTTCCATAACACTGCACCACTATAGCTAAAGCTATTTTTAAGATAATTGGTGCGGGGTAAAGGAGCAGCAAGTTTGTTCACGGAGTCTCGAAGTATATAAGAAGTTACATTATTGCGATTAGTAAATTTAGAACATAGATATTCGGGTGCAAGGTTATTTAAAGATTTGAAAACCATCAATGCTTTTTGAAATTGGCGTTGTTGGTTTAGATCATCCCACCCTAGCTTTTCCAATAAGCTATTGGCATCGCCGTCAAAGTTGGAAAAGGTCAACACCCGCATTGCACGGTTTTGAAGTTTTTGAAGTTTGTTAGATAAAATTTTCCCACAATTTCCCCACACGACATTACAATAATCAAAATGTGGTTGTATTAGAGCTTGGTAAATAACATGCAATGTTTCCAATGAAACAAATAACCTTAACCGCTTAATAGCACCGATACCAGAAGCAATTCGTTTTGTCATTTTATTGATATGACTACTCCAAGTAAGATTTTCGTCTAATAAGACACCAAGTGATTTTGTTGTCGAAACTCGATCTAAAGGAATCCCATTTATTTCAAAAGAAGGATTGTCAGAAAGAGTACTTAAACGTTGTCTCGACCCAATTAACATGTACTCAGTTTTAGTCATATTTAAAGTAAGTTTATTTGATATTAACCATTCATTAATGTTTTCCAAGTCTTCGTTAAGATGAAATTGAATAGTGTTTGTATCGCTACCAGAATAGGTAAGATTAGTGTCATCTGCATACATTCTGGGATGAGAATTAGATAAACAATTTGGTAAATCATTAATAAATACCAGAAACAGGAGCGGTCCTAGGATCGTTCCTTGAGGAATTCCACACTTAAGACTACATTTTTTTGAAAGTGACCCGTTAACAAAACATTTCTGCCTACGGTCTTCCAAATATGACTTAAACCATTTGTAGGCAACTCCGTGAATTCCATAGTTTCTGAGTTTAGACAACAAGATCTCATGGTTGACCGTATCGAAAGCCTTTTTCAGGTCCATACACACTGGACGCGATTCGATGACGCGACGCGATTTTTCGTGTTGCGTTGTCGAATCGCGTCCGATGTGTCTGGACCTTTACATTCTACGACGCGGCCGGCCGACGACGCGGTCTAAGTTTCAGCTCAAGAATGAGCGCTAAGCAATTTGATTACTGTATTAAATAATTGAAGCTTCTTCAAATAGCCTTACAAACTGCTGCATTCGGCTAAAGCGATGCAATGTTTGCTGTAATTTCGACTTTAATTAAGTAACATCTCTGGGATCGCGTTATAAAGCTTTCAGCAAAGGCGTAAATGTGGGGGGGGGGGGGTTGGTTCACCCCCCAGAGAAATGATCCAGTCGGTCTCAAACTACGTGCAGTCGGTCTCAAAATTATGCGTTAGTGTTTACATGCAGTGCTTTGCGAAGCAAATTAAATATTTTCGAGACTCAGACTATTGAGTCTATTTCCAAAATCTCAAAACTCAAAAATGCAATGAATCTGGATCAAAATAGCTAACATTAGTTACAATATTTCTCCGGTCCCTTAACTATATTTTTAAGATGCAAAGTGCAAAAACGAATTTCTAGCCGAGTTATATTAGGAAGTATGTTCACATGTAACACGATATGCATATGCATTTTGTTACCAAAGAGCTTTATGTGTCTACTGCAATCAAGAAATTCGATCAGTGAACGACGCACTGGTTTATCTGAAATCCCGGAGCGACTAGGCGATGTTTCCAATTGTTGCTTACAGTCAGCCCGTAATTAAGTATGTGAGTCAATCGAGTAATTCAAGTTCAATGACAGACTGTAGTTCTCTCTATGTAAAGAAGCATTATTTCTTGCCCTACAGGCTACAGTGGCGTAAGAAGTGGAAGGCTGTGTCAATAACAAAAGTGCGGGCCAGCGCCCAAATATTACAACAATTGAGCACAAACACTTTTTATTATGCACCTGATCAATGATGTTCGACCAAAAATATTTGCAATTCTTAGCCTCAGGATTGGGGGCAAACTACAGTATAAATTATAGTCATTGTGTCACTGTTTATGGAATTGATATTTCGTTTGAACTGCTCCTAGAATGCAGGAAATAGCGTTTCTAAGCCAAAGAAAATTAAAAATTTTCTGGGGGAGCATGGCCCCAGACCCCTCCAGAAGTGTCTCGTTCAACAAAAATGGGCTATTCCATTTAATATCCGTACCCCCCCTGTCGAGGATACATGTTTTTCATAGTTATACCCCTGAAGAATTCCAAGCTCAAAATCCTTTACCCCTGAAGAATTCCAAGCTCAAAACACTCTACCCCTGAAGAATTCCAAACTCAAAACACTTTACCCCTGAAGAATTCCAACCTCTGAAAAATTTCGATCTCAAACCTCTTTACCCCTGAAGAATTCCAAGCTCAAAACACTCTACCCCTGAAGAATTCCAAACTCAAAACACCCTACCCCTGAAGAATTCCAAGCTCAAAACACTGTACCCCTGACGAATTCCAAGCTCAAAACACTTTACCCCTGAAGAATTCCAAACTCTGAAAAATTTCGATCTCAAACCTCTTTACCCCTGAAGAATTCCAAGCTCAAAACACTCTACCCCTGAAGAATTCCAAACTCAAAACACCCTACCCCCGAAGAATTCCAAGCTCAAAACACTCTACCCCTGAAGAATTCCAAACTCAAAACACCCTACTTCTGAAGAATTCCAAACTCAAAACACTTTACCCCTGAAGAATTCCAAGCTCAAAATCCTTTACCCCTGAAGAATTCCAAACTCAAAACACTCTACCCATGAAGAATTCCAAACTCAAAACACTCTACCCCTGAAGAATTCCAAACTCAAAACACTTTACCCCTGAAGAATTCCAAGCTCAAAACCCTTTACCCCTGAAGAATTCCAAACTCAAAACACTCTACCCCTGAAGAATTCCAAACTCAAAACACTTTACCCCTGAAGAATTCCAAACTCAAAATCCTTTACCCCTGAAGAATTCCAAACTCAAAACACCCTACCCCTGAAGAATTTCAAGCTCAAAACACACTACCCCTGAAGAATTCCAAGCTCAAAACACCCTACCCCTGAAGAATTCCAAACTCAAAACACTTTACCCCTAAAGAATTCCAAACTCAAAACACTCTACCCCTGAAGAATTCCAAACTCAAAACACTTCACCCCTGAAGAATTCCAAACTCAAAACACTTTACCCCTGAAGAATTCCATATAATAATGATTTAATAACAGTGTATCCACAGAGTGGCTCTTCAACCATGGGCGTACGGGAATTGAAAAATTATGGGGCGGAAAGAGATTTGCCCTATTTTTTTGGATTGTGTCCGAGTTGTCAAAAGAAAATTTTCAGAGAAACTTTCCAAAACTGTTGTCGGGGGGGGGGGAATTCCTATTACATAGCATATTTCCTACAAGATTGACAGAATTTCCCACAAAATTCACAGAATTTGTCCCATTTATTTTTATAATAAGCCAATATTGCCCGACTGTTTGCCCAACAAACTGCCCCCCCCCCGCCCGGTTAGCCCATGTCTTCAACTGCTATAGATTACAAAGTAAAGTTTATCTCTATGTTATCTAAAAAGCATAAGTTAAAATAATTATGTTTATATTTACAGTTATTGTCTACTTATTATGGTTTATCTACTACATATTTGGATAATAAATATGTTCTTAGGCCTTTACAACATGGCCGGATCCATGGTTTTAGCTGAGAGATGCATAATTCCTCATGTCTTTGCAAAATTTGGAAATCTAGAACCTCGGAAATGCGATTTCCTGCGTTCTGATCGAATTTTTTATATAAATTTCGAATAGAGATTGCCATATTTTCAGCAAAATAGGGTGAAAATTTGGATTAAATTATGAAAAAAACCCCCAACATTTTTACAAAATGATGTTACATTACTTTACATGAACTACAGTATGCAGTAAAAAGTTCACAGAGAAATTCACAACATATATTTACAACGCACCATCCTCTCCACTGCTCCACTAACCAATCAAGAATATGTAAAATACTTAGATTAAAACTCTCAAAGGACTCCTTTCTCCAAGGTTCAAGGCTCAACTCATGCGTGGTTCAGACTCATTAAAATATAAATAACACAAACTTTATTACAAAAACGCTGCCATATGAAAACTCTACGCTCGTCTCATTAGTATTCCATGTGTTCACAAAATAAACGTCATAGAATATTACGCAATCTCTGACACTCCCCCCGTTGACCAGTGCATGCAACTACTGGTCAACAAACAGTGAAACAACTAAACTACAATTACGTAGTCTACAAATTTGAATTATCAACGTTGTCAATGCAAGTAGTCTTTCTACTATCGCAATATCTCTACACTAGCTACTTAGCTGTCATTCAGTTCCTCGATCCATTTCCTTCGCCGTTCTTCTCCCCGCTTCGCCGCTTCACCTCTTGGTCTCTTTACTTCGACTTGGTTCATTTCATTTCCGATCGCTTCGTCAAGTTCGTTCTTTCCGTAACAATTTTCTTCAGCTTCCGAGTCGGACCTTACCTCTAGTGGGTAAAGTAACCGTACCGATCTTTTCAAAGTCGTCGGCCGTTTCCCCTTTGGACTGATTCTAACGATCGCTCCCCGCACGTTTCCGTCCTCTCCGTTGATCAACCTTTCGCCTTTGCCCAATCTCCAACATGCTCGAGGTTGCGACTCGTCGTGAACCACAACTATATCCCCCGCACGGATAGTTCCCTTTCCGTTGTCGTTCTTACCGCGGTGTGAATTGCGCAGTTCCATTAAATATTCGTCACGCCAACGGGTCCAGAAATGATTCATTAGTGTGCTCAAGTGCTTCATTCTTCGACTTAAGTCCTTATCGTTTAACGAGAATTCGGGATCTAATATGTCATTGCCAATGTCCTGCTCTGGCATACTCAGTAATCTTCGTCCCGTTAACAAATGTGACGGAGTGAGTGGTTCTTGTAGATCTTCGGTAGAAACATATGATATTGGACGGGAATTCAATATCATCTCCACTTCAGCGACCACCGTCAGGAGCTCTTCGTAAGTTAATTGAGCTCCTCCAACAGTCTTCTTTAAACACCTCTTGGTGGATTTGACAAGTCTTTCAAAAATTCCACCCCACCAGGGTGCCTTGGGTAAATTGAACGACCAGGTGATGTTCATGCCGACGAAGAAGCGCCTTATCTCTGGATCTCTCAACATCGTTTTGATCTCCCGCGATGCCGCCTTAAACGTCCCGGCGTTGTCCGACACAATCGTTGACGGAACACCGCGTCTCGCGGTAAATCTCCGAAAACTTCGAATAAATCCTTCTTTTGTCAGGGTTGGTACAATGTCCAAATGCACTGCTCTCGTTACAAAACATGTGTAAAGGCATACCCACACCTTTTCGCTCTTCTCGTGTGTTCGAACATAGAGCGGACCAAGGAAATCAATTCCTGTTGCTGTGAAAGGTGGTGTTTCTCGTACTCGAAATTCGGGTAGGGGAGGTGGTGGTGGAGCTTGATAGGGTTTGCCTTCGAATCTCCGACAAATAGAACAACTCCCGATCAACTTTCGCACAAACTGTCTCCCACGGACGATCCAGTACTGCGATCTTATATCAGTCAACGTCTCTTTGACTCCATTATGCATCACTCTTCTGTGGCTGTCGTAAACGCTCAATGATGCGAAATAATGCTCTTTGTCAACTAGAATTGGATGCTTTGCTGACTGGGGTAGGTTCGCCTTTTCCAGTCTACCTTTGCACCTCCAGATGTCTTGCTCGTCAGTGTAAAGCCCAAACTCTGTCTTCCACTGTTCAAACTGGTTCTTCTCGGGCAATTTTCTTTGCATTTCTTTGATCCACAATTCTCTACTTTCACGAATCTCATTC